CCGCATTGTACGCCGGTTTCTCTCTCTGGAGCTCTGAACCCTGGCCGTATGTGCTTATATATATATATATATATATATATATATATATATATATATATATATATATATATATATATATATATATATATATATATATATATAACTTATTCTGTAACTTTCTATATTTGTAAGCGATAAGATACTATTATTAGTGCAGCGTTCATTACACCAGCATCCAATCTCCTCCTACAAATATTTGAGCATATCCTAAACAAAGTCACGTGATTGCCTTCATTGGCTTACACGCACTGTTTGTGTGTTACACAAACCATTCTTTTCTATAATTAGAATTATATTATATATTAATGCGGTTCAACGGTGGGCCGCGTGGTCCCGGCATAGAATAGGCCACCATTTCCTGACCCGTTGGTGTCGTAAGAAGTGATTAAGTGAGAGCGAGGGATGGACAGTAGCGTCCCTTTTAAAATATCTCTAAAGCCTAACTGCGGTTGCCAATCCGCTTGCCAAACGTGGCAACTACTGGCAAAACCCCCAAGGGGTGTGGGTTATGTCCAGTAGTGACCACTTAACGGCTGGAATAATAATAGAATGGGTCCATACATATTTAAAACATCAAATATTTTTATATTAGAATACTTTTGTACATTCACTTTTAATATAGACATTTTTTTTATGGGTGAAAATGGTATGGTAACCCCGCCTGCGCTAACGGGATACGCTGGCGGAGCACCAGTGAAGGGTGATCGATGAGAATGAAAACAGGCCAGTTAGCCCATCATGATGAATTCATCAGGAATTAACCATGATAGTTTCCAGGGGGAACTGTGAGGAGGTCGACCTGGTTGGGTATATTGCTAGCAGTGGGATTCTCAGTCTCCATTACTAACAATCCCTTTCCCCCCTAATATAGACATTAGGTTACTTTTTGATGGAATTTGTTTCCAGTTAATCCTAAGAATCCAAAAACTATATTTATTATTATAAATCTAAATATGGCGTCGAATTAGGCCGCCGCTGGTACATTATACTGGGAACGATGTTTCAGACGAATACATGAATAGCCAAGTGCCGTGGCGGGGTAAGCTTCAATACGTGGCAAGTTTAGTGATATATTGTGACACACATGATTTGAATACGCCCGAATAAGTCAATACAAGCACCTAGTGTTGCTATTGGTTGGTATTCACTCGTAAGCCATTTTAAACCAACATGTCAGTGCCAATAAAACGCGACTCTAAAATAAGTTTTTGACAGTTTATGAGGGACATATTTATTTTATTTCATGGTGTCGGATATGGGTGACTTGGGACTGTTCCTCGTGGCGGTCTACGGCGAAGACTTATGTTTAGCAGTCTATTTTTTTTAATGGGTAAAAATGGCATGGTAATCCCGCTTGCGCTATAGGTATACACCGGCGAGGCACCAGGAAGGGATGATAAGTAATGATGAAGCAGGTCAGATAGCCCATCGTGACGAATTCAACGATAAATTCGTTACGATAGTTTCCAAGGGGAACTAAAACAATGTTGCTACACGTCTGTCTACATCACTATTTTATAATATTCTGCGACCTAACTATTGAATGTTGGGGGGAAGGGATTGTTAGTAATAAGGTAAGGAAGGTTAGTCCCGTTGCTATGAACGTACTCTATCAGGTCGACCTCCACGCGGTTCCATATGGAAACTATCGTGACAAATTTATCGTTGAATTCTTCATGATAGGCTAACTGACCTGCCTTTTAATCCTCACCTATCACCTCTCACTGGTGCCCCGCCAGTGTATACCGATAGCGCAGGCGGGGTCACCATGCCTTTTTCAACCATAAAAAAAAAACTGTCGATGTTCAATCGATGCTACCATTAAGGAATGCTGCCTAACACTATTAGATAGATAGATAGATAATTTATTTACATAACTTACAGCACACAAACAGTACAAGGCACAAAAGCAAAGTGAAAAAAGATAAAAAAAAACACATGTACAAAAAATACAAAAAAAAAAAATAAATAATCAAAAACAAAATCAGAATGCATAAAATTAGTAAAAATTTTTTTTTCTTCACGCGTGTGCCACAGTAATACAAAATGGCCACAACACAGCTTTTTGCTTTGCCCTAAAAAAGAGCAAAACACTGATATTCTGTTGTGTGTATTATTCCTGTTTAGATTATCACAGAGTTGTGTTAAATTTGGAGCCATTGACGCAACCATGTGTGTGCTGACGGTGTATTTACACGTGAAATATGTGGTAATCTCCATGACAATGCCAGCAATGTGATCTAAGATTAGCTGTCTGTCTGCCCTCTGTTATTGTTGGTGATGTACTTACTATAACTATACAAGTATTTCTCTATTAACTTTGTGTGTTACGACACAATGATAATACACGGCAAATTGTTACACCGTCTAACATTATAGTCGTTAACACCTTTTTTTAAACTTTTTTTTATATAACGTAGGAGCAAACGAGCATGTGTCTCGTCTGATGGTATATATATGTATGTGTCTATCTATTTCGCCGTCCATAGGCACCCGCAACTTCAAAGAAATCGCCGGTGTGCTGTCGGCCTTTTAAAAAGAAATATTCTCTTTTCCTAAAAGTTTTAATGTGAAGGTTCTCGAATTGTCTGTTTTATTTTTATTTATTTATTTATTCTTTAATGACATTAAAAAAAATGTTTGGTACAAAAGGCGGACTTAATACTATATATACTATATATAAAAGATGTCTCATCAAAATTTATAACTTTTTAATTATTATAGATGTGTGTATGTATGCGTGTGTATGTGTATGTGTGTGTGTATGTATATATGTGTATGTGTATATATATATATATATATGTATATATATATATATATATATACATATATATATATATGTGTATGTATGTATTTTGCATATATAAAAACCGATCATGACTTAACATAGATATAAATTTGATTATGTATTGACTGTAATTCAGCTGTACGTTTTCCAAAAAATAAATAAATATACAGCATTACCTTTGGCAATACAGAAATGTAATGATGTGGTGAAAAAATTAAAAATTGTTGTAGATGGTCATTGACAGTTTATTCTCTGTGATGTCCATGGTGCTGTATTTCTAAGGGTGACGCTTATCATTTATCATTAGGTGGGCCGTCAGCTTGTCTACCGTTCTAGGTAACATAATAAAAACATCCGATATCATAGTGTATTCTGTGATCTCCATCGTACTGCTCATGTCCATCATTATCATTATCCCAGCCGTGAACTGTCCACTGATGAACTTAGGCCTCCTTCATAAGGGGGGCGTTGCCAGTTGATGATGTTTTAAAAGGGATGCTGTTCCCCATCCTTCGACATTTAAGTTCCTTTAGTCGCCTCTTACGACCACCACAGTAAAGGAAAGGATGGCTCATTCTAAGCCGGGATCATACGGTGCATTATGTCTATAGGCGTCAACTTTTTTAATTAAGTAAGCCGTTAGCTAGTTTACCAAGTTTATTCAAAGTTGCATGAACATATTCAACAGAGACCACCAGAGGGAGACTTTGTACAAAATTTGATTGCTTAGGTACCTCTGTTCCATTCGTGTTTCAACCGTGAAGCAGTTGTGTTTGCATGGCTGTGTTTCGGTATGAAGGATGGGATATGGCGTGAATTTACAGGGTACAGAGGAATAATACCTGAGTTGTCAGGAATGGCAACGCATAGGGGGTATCATGAGTGAAACAGTATACTCTGTTATGTCCATGGTACTGCTCATGTCCATAGGCGAGGGTTACCACTTTCCATCAGGTGGGCCGTCAGCTTGTTTACCATTCTAAGTTGTATAAAAAAAAGACGGTCCAAATCTTAGACAAAAGGCAAAAGAATATATTTGTTAGTTCCCTTACGCTCTGTTACATGTCTATTCCTCTTATTACGCGAACATTCTCAAAAGCTTTTACCATTTTTTCTGTTAACGCCGTATAAAATATATTCAGAATATTATAAAATAACAGATTTTCCCTTTTATGCTTACGGAGTGAAGGAAAAAGTCAATCGTTCGGTATCTCGTATCTCAGTTTTTGTGATCTTTTATTTTTTCCGGTTGTCGCTCCACGCTCCGTCATATTTTTGTGAACACACTCGTTCCTTACACGCCCGCCTTCCTGTTCTATAGGTATACACCATTATGTCGTGAGTAAGCATCTTTGCAGAACCCAAATTGTGTACAGATGCTTTGCTAAAGGTACATTCACACACGGGCTTTTAACTTGTCACTTTAAGAGGATATGGACGGGGAATTTTGCGACGTTCCAAGAATTGAAAAGAAAGCGCAATGACTCATGATGAAATAAAGGTGGGATAAAATCAAAATCACACAAAAGAAAACATAAACTTACTTTATATTTGATGTATAGGTATGCGATATGATTTATATTTGATTTCATTTCGATTGAATAAAAGTAAGTCCTCTGTTTTGGGTTGGCTCTTTTTTAAAGTTACGCTGCCATGTTTCAGTGTACTCGTATCTATACAACGGGTTGTTTGTTTTGTTAATAGATGATAATGGAATAGTAACTTTGCCTGCGCTAATGGTATAAACTGGCGTGGCATTAGTGAGGGATGATACATGAGAATGAAAAGGCAGGTCAGTTAGCCTATCGTGATGAATACACTTGGAATTTTGCATGATGGTTTCCAGGGAGACTACGTGGAGGTCGACCTGTAAGAGTAAATTGTTACCAATGGGACTGGTAGTCTGTATTACTAACAAATCCATTCCCTCCTATTGTTATTATGTTAGGTTATATTAAGTACATGGTTCGTACGTAGTTAAGGCTCTGTGAAGTTACTTAATCATGTGCCTTTATTCCTGTAATCAAAAATGACTTGCGAGCGTGACTTTAGCTTTGAATAATATTTAAGAAAATTTTATTAAAAATATCGAAATAATCTACATATAAGGCGGTATAGAATTATTATTTTTTAAATATTTGTGTGTTTAAGTAAGGATATATTTTATTTTCAGGCTATCGAGGTTAACAATCTGTGATAATCTCTAGTGGAAGAGACGGATACACGGTGAGTACTTAGAGAATTATTATCTTTTTGTAATTAGTAATCAGGGCTACGTCTCTCGAGAACCATTTATCATCATATGATGATGAATGATTCTCTTAAACTAATAAAGGTTAATATATCGTCATAGTCGTACAATACTGACGGATCTTTATATGTAATATTCGTCAGATCCGTCAGTATTCTACGAATATGACGATATTGCAGTCCATCGCTGGGATGGAGGATTATTCACAGAAAGTGTATAGTGTATAATTACGTTGTGTTTCGAAAATTTAAAACGTTATTTCTATACCTTTAAATCAAATCATCATCGTTATCATTTCAGCTGTTATTGTCCACTGCTGGACATAGGCGTCTTCCATAAATTGCCATAAGGAACGGGAGTTCCTATGGCAGTTTACCATTAGGATTTTGCCAGTAATTGCCAAGCTTTGCAAACGGATTGGCAGCCGCAGTTTGGCTTTTGTTGATGTTTGATCATAAGCTTCTATAGTCAACTCTTACGACACCTACGAGAAAGCAAGGGATGACCTATTCTATGCCGGGACCAGACGGTAATCTTAGTATTCTTAGTAACGCGGTGGTAGTTCCATTGCTAGCAATATACTCTTTCAGGTCGACTTCCACGTGGTCTGGAAACCATCATGTCGAATTCCAGGCATATTCGTCACAGTATCTTAACTGACCTGCTTTTTCATTATCATCTGTCATCCTTCACTGGTGCCCCGCCAGTGTATACCGTTAACACAAGCAGGTTACCATTCCGTTATCATCTATAAAAAAATTAAAAATAAACCCAAAGCGACCAAAAAACAACTGTATATTTCATCGAACAATTGCTGTCCTTGAAAAAAATTGTCACGTACTTTTTATGCTAACTTTGTGAATAATGATTCATGACAAATCGCGCTTCAGCTCTCCTATCCCGCAGTATATAAATCATTCCGCCGTGTAACTGGCCGGTTATTAATTAGCTTAATTTGTCACAAAAATAATTATTCCCGCCATATTTCTTTGTTAATTTCAGTACAGTATAATGGTTTGTTTTACTACTTTATTATATTTCATCACGCAAATTTGAAATTTCCATTCTGTGCAGCGTAGGCTTATGGCTGTTACAATTTAAAATATTTTAAAACGATTTTTTTTTTCTTTTTTGTACTGACGTGGCTTAATTGCTTAATACGTTGGTTTTTTTAACTTTTAGGATCATGAATTGAAATGTGGCAATTTTTTTTCTTTTTTTTTTAAATTTGTTATGGCAGATAATCTGGCAGATGATTCCTCTTTTTTATCTATGGGCGATAGTTATTAGATAATTATAGATAACCCTGGCAACGCATGGGGCGTATCATGTATGTATGGGGCGAAACAGTATACTCTATTATGTCCATGGTACTGCTCATGTCTATAGGCGACGGTTACAACTTTCCATCAGGTGGGCCGACAGCTTGTTCGCCATTCTAAGTTTAAAAAAAAAGAACTATCGTAATTATGTATAGGTAATGTACCTCAAAGTGGATTTTCTTGTTACAAGAATAAAGCGACAAATGTCGTATCTATGTGGGTATCAAATTGACCCCTTTTGTTGGCTCGAACTTTCAGATCCATCATGTTGATGGATGTAAACATTATGGTCCCCTAATTTTCAAAGTAACCGAACTATCAAGCAATAAACTGTGATACGACATTTACTGACATTATAACATTTAAGAACGGCGCGAAGTCGAAATTATCAGAAGGTACGGTAGTGTTCTCGCCAAGTAAACACGGCTGTACTATCATTTTCTCAAAGCAACTCACGACACTTTTGACTGCCCTGTAACTCTTTGTAACTATAATTGTAAAATAATAATTTAATACAAAATCTACTATTTAATACAAAAACTAACAATGCATTTAAAAATTAAGTATTTTATTAGTACAGTCATTATAATTATTATAGAAATAAACGTGTCTTATATTGATACGGTCGCTAAAAATTTTGATAGATTATTAATCAGATAACAATTTATAACAAATTTGTTGAATAAGGGCTTCCATAGATACTAGCTACGGAAAATAATTGATTTGATTTTATATGTGATCTCACAAGTTTTCGTTGTCAAAATGCCAAGTCTCCTAAGTGCAGTTCACGTTGGGAGACTTGGCATTTTTTTACATTTTATCTTTTTGATGGAATTACATTTCTTCTAAGTAGCAAGAAACAAGGGTCAAAGAACTCAAAGAAGGTCAATAATTTGACATACAGGTATCTGTGGTACAGGATATAATGGTAGGTAGCTGCGAGTTCACAACTCGACTTATTTCACTGTACTGCCACAGAGTTTCGTAGGGTAGTAACAAATTACGCAGAATTACATTTTTTATGTTTATTTTTGTAATACATTTTTTTACAATAATCTATTATTATAATTTTCTATTTTTGTGTGTTAGTGAGTTCAATGGTAAATCTGTAAAGCATAAAAAAATTTGTTATTTTATTTATTTATTGATTAATACATATTTGTGTACACGGTGGACTTAATGCTTTTTTTATACCACTGAGGTGGTAAGTAATTACCGTACCCTATGAACGCCTGCAATACCAGAGGTATTACGCGCGCGTTGCCGACCCTGAAGAAACCACTTTACCCCCCTTTTGAAGAACCCCATGCTGTAGTCTCTTGGGAAAACCTCGGAGCTCATTCCACAACCTGAGTGTTCGTGGAAGGAAACATCTCTGGAACCGCGCAGTACGCGACCATTGATGCTGTAGGACTTGAGGATGAACTCCCTGTCGATGGCGAGCCGTACGATGGTAGAAAGTGGCTGTGGGCATCCTATTGAACAATTTCTCTGAGCACAATCCATTGTACAACGCTAAAAGCATTTTCTGTATATTATATATAGATAAGTAACTATAGATTTAATGTCGTTGCGCATCAAACCTATGTAACACTATTATTTTCACTGTCAACACGAGAGATACCGTGATTTGCCGTCAATAAATTAATTATCTGACAATGAGTTGCAAATTTTAATCAATTATGCGCTCGCACGTTGCCTAACCATTGTTTTGTGGTGTTCAACATTGAAATTGTCCATAAATTGATACAATATCGATTGTTCAACGAGATCCATACACTACATCCTTAATTTATCATTAACAATTAACTGTGATGTATTGAAAATTAACTGTGCAGAATATTTATTGGATATGTGTGGAAACTGTATGAAATTTGATGAATATTGCAACCCGTTTGAATATCGAATTTGAAAGTTTTATTATTGAGCTGCCCGCGTTTCTATTGTTTCGTGATTTTGCCCCATAAATACATATATGCGTAGGTGTATTTGAAATTGTGACATATGTTGTTATTGTCAGAGTTGTTTTTTGTTTATTAGCTGACACTTGCGGTTTTACGCGAATACGAGTATAGTCAACCGTGAAGCAGTTATGTTTGCATGGCTGTGTTTCGGTTTGAAGGGTGGGATATTGCAGTGAATTTACATGGTACAGAGGAATAACCTGAGTTCTCAGGAATGGCAACGCATGGGGCTATCATGGGCGAAACAGTATACTCTGTTATGTCCATGATACTGCTCCTGTCCATAGGCGACGGTTACCACTTTCCATCAGGTGGACCGTCAGCTTGTTTGCCATTCTAAGTCGTATAAAAAAAAACTAATTTAAAAAAATTCACGTTTTTATCTAAAGTTTAAATTTTTAAAAAGGAAATATGTATTTGATTATGGTTTGCAGTGGATAAACTAAAAAATACCAAAGTACTGTTGATATTAAAAAATCTCTCATACGTAGAAAGCTACGAGTAGTAACATGTACAGTATTATTTTATTTTTTTGTGAATCATTCTTTTTATATACAACATATAAAGAAGAAAGTAATGAAATAAAAAATGGCTATTTTACTACATAACCCTAAAATGTAGTCTTGAGTAATAACATATTGGAATTCCGAAGATGGCAGATAAAAGAAACGGACAAATACTAGAAAAAATACTATCGATCTTTATTCTGAGTAAATATAATTTTGAAAATCTTTTTACTTTTAATATTGTATAAAATATGACGTATTAACATAATAAAGTAATTAAATAAAAATAAAGGATTGTTAGTAATGGTGTCTAATTGATCCATTGCTAGCAATACACCCTATCTGGCCGACCTCCACGCGGTTCCCCCTGGAAACCGTCGTGGTTAATTATAGTGGAATTCGTCACGATGGGCTAACTGATCTGCCTTTTCATCCTCACCTGTCATCTCTTACAGATGTCCCGCCAACGTATCCCGATAGCGCAGGCAAGGTTACCATTTCATTATCATCCATTAAAAAAAAAACTAGGGTCGGGGGGGTCGTCTTACACTGCGTTTGCCTGTACAGGGTTGCCACGGTCAGATTTGTCACTGTTGTATAATTAGATATATCCTAAAATTTCTCTATTTTATATATTCTTTATTGCACTTGTAAGTTGCATATAAAATAATGTATTTATAAATGTTGTGAGCAAGGGTGGATAGAGACTTATCTCTGACAGAGATCTCTTCCAGTCAATCCAGTACAGTGAGAAAGCATTTCGTTAGCGGGCAGCTGAAGTGCTACAACTATTAATACATAAACAAATATATAGTTAAATAAAATATTAAAATATATAATAAAATATTACATAAATACATATAATAACTACCTACTTGTATAATAAATGTTAAAATAAATGAATATACTATTTACGTCAGAAATTTTATTTATTTTTTCTAGTTTAGTCAATCATTACAAAACCACGATAAAAATAGAATTCCCTCTCATTGAAGCGTCAGTCAACACTGCACAATAACAGTGATGGAATACTAAGCGGTTGTTTTGCACAAACGTCGCGATGGTGGCGTGACGGCCAGTAATAGAAATTACGTCTCATTGTCACTTTATAATTTAATTGTCTAGTGAATTTGTGTAGCAGGGAACTGTCTCCGATGCTATTAATTTTCATTAGAATTCTTTA